TGGTTTAGTCCTGGTTTAGTCCTGGTTTAGTCCTGGTTTAGTCCTGGTTTAGAGACTGGTTTAGTCTGGTTTAGTCCTGGTTTATTTTAGTCTGGTTTAGTCCTGGTTTAGACCTGGTTTAGTCTGGTTTAGTCCTGGTTTATTTCTGGTTTAGTCCTGGTTTAGTGGTTTAGTCCTGGTTTAGTCCTGGTTTAGTTTTAGTCCTGGTTTTAGTCCTGGTTTAGTCCTGGTTTAGTCCTGGTTTAGTCCTGGTTTAGTCCTGGTTTAGTTCCTGGTTTAGTCCTGGTTTAGTCCTGGTTTTGGTTTAGTCCTGGTTATAGTCCTGGTTTAGTTGTTTAGTCCTGGTTTAGTCCTGGTTTAGTCCTGGTTTAGTCTGGTTTAGTCCTGGTTTAGTCCTGGTTTAGTTGGTTTAGTCTGGTTTAGTCCTGGTTTAGACCTGGTTTAGTCCTGGTTTAGTCCTGGTTTAGTCTGGTTTAGTCTGGTTTATTGACCTGGTTTAGTCCTGGTTTAGACCTGGTTTAGTCCTGGTTTAGTCCTGGTTTATTTCTGGTTTAGTCCTGGTTTAGTCCTGGTTTCCTGTTTAGTCCTGGTTTACCTGGTTTAGTCCTGGTTTAGTCCTGGTTATTGGTTTAGTCTGGTTTAGTCCTGGTTTAGTCTTGGTTTAGTCTTGTTAGTCTGTTTAGTCCTGGTTTAGTCCTGGTTTACTGGTTAGTCCTGGTTTAGTCCTGGTTTAGTCCTGGTTTAGACCTGGTTTTAGACCTGGTTTAGTGGTTTAGTTCCTGGTTTAGAGTCTGTTTAGTCTGGTTTATGGTTTAGTCCTGGTTAGTCCTGGTTTAGTCTGGTTTTGGTTTAGTCCTGGTTTAGTCCTGGTTTAGTCCTGGTTTAGTCCTGGTTTAGTCCTGGTTTAGTCCTGGTTTAGACCTGGTCTTGGTCTTGTTGTAGATTTATGTCTCGTCGTTTGGATCGATATTTTCATCAATAAAAACGACGTAATGCAGCTTTTCAATTAAGTGAATTTAACGAGACCAAAGACCAAAGACCAGAGACCAGAGACCAGAGACCAGAGACCAGACCAGAGACCAGAGACCAGACCAGAGACCAGAACAGAGACCAGACCAGACCAGACCAGACCAGAGACAGAGACCAGACCAGAGACCAGACCAGACCAGACAGAGACCAGACCAGAGACCAGACCAGAGACCAGACCAGAGACCAGAGACCAGAGACCAGACCAGAGACCAGACCAGACCAGACCAGAGACCAGAGACCAGACCAGACCAGACCAGAGACCAGAGACCAGAGACCAGAGACCAGACCAGAGACCAGACCAGAGACCAGACCAGAGACCAGACCAGAGACAGAGACCAGAGACCAGAGACCAGAGACCAGAGACCAGAGACCAGACCAGAGACCAGAGACCAGACCAGAGACCAGAGACCAGAGACCAGAGACCAGACCAGAGACCAGACAGAGACCAGAGACCAGAGACCAGACCAGACCAGACCAGACCAGACCAGAGACCAGAGACCAGAGACCAGAGACCAGACCAGAGACCAGAGACCAGAGACCAGACCAGAGACCAGACCAGAGACCAGAGACCAGAGACCAGAGACCAGAGACCAGAGACCAGACCAGACCAGAGACCAGACCAGACCAGACCAGAGACCAGAGACCAGAGACCAGACCAGAGACCAGACCAGACCAGACCAGACCAGACCAGACCAGACCAGAGACCAGACCAGACCAGACCAGAGACCAGACCAGAGACCAGACCAGACCAGAGACCAGACCAGAGACCAGACCAGAGACCAGACCAGAGACCAGACCAGAGACCAGAGACCAGAGACCAGAGACCAGAGACCAGACCAGAGACAGACCAGAGACCAGAGACCAGAGACCAGACCAGACCAGACCAGACCAGAGACCAGACCAGAGACCAGAGACCAGAGACCAGAGACCAGACCAGACCAGACCAGAGACCAGACCAGAGACCAGAGACCAGAGACCAGACCCAGACCAGAGACCAGAGACCAGACCAGAGACCAGACCAGACCAGAGACCAGAGACCAGAGACCAGACCAGACCAGAGACCAGAGACCAGAGACCAGAGACCAGAGACCAGACCAGAGACCAGAGACCAGAGACCAGAGACCAGACCAGGACCAGATTTAAAGATGAAGAGGAGGTGTCGTCTTCACACAGTTATTTCTGTTTCACCTGAGATCTCACCTCACGTCACCGTCTGACAACCAGAACTAAACCAGAACTGAACCAGGACTAAACCAGGACTGAACCAGGACTAAACCAGAACTGAACCAGGACTAAACCAGAACTGAACCAGGACTAAACCAGGACTAACCACTAAACCAGACTAAACCAGGACTAAACCAGGTCTAAACCAGGACAAACCAGGACTGAACCAGGACTAAACCAGGACTAAACCAGGTCTAAACCAGGAAAACCAGGTCTAAACCAGGAACCAGAAAACCAGGACTAAACCAGGACTAAACCAGGACTAAACCAGGTCTAAACCAGGACTAAACCAGGTCTAAACCAGGTCTAAACCAGGAATAAACCAGGACTAAACCAGGACTAAACCAGGACTAACCAGGACTGAACAGGACTGAACCAGGAACTAAACCAGGAGTAAACCAGAACTAAACCAGGACTAAACCAGGACTAAACCAGGTCCGTGTGTGTATTTTAGTCTCTGTGTTTTTACTGTTCTAAACACTTTCAGGAAACGTTCTGAAGGTTCTAAAGGTTTTAAAGTTTCTGCTCGGTTCTGAAAACTGGACTTTTTTTTTTTTTTTTGGATCCGGACTCGAGGAAAACCGGGATCTAGATTCGGTCTCAGTTTTATTTTAGATCAGTGTGTGACGTTTGATTCTTTTTACCCGGAGTGTGTGAAAGTGCCCGTGTGTGACCCGTGTGTGACTCGTGTGACTTGTGTGACACGTGTGTGTGACCCGTGTTTGACCCGTGTGTGACCCGTGTGTGACCCGTGTGTGACCCGTGTGTGACTCGTGTGTGACTCGTGTGTGACCCGTGTGTGACTCGTGTGACTTGTGTGACTCGTGTGTGACCCGTGTGTGACTCGTGTGTGTAACCCGTGTGTGACCCGTGTGTGACTCGTGTGTGACTCGTGTGTGACTCGTGTGTGACCCGTGTGTGACTCGTGTGTGACTCGTGTGTGACTCGTGTGTGACTTGTGTGACTTGTGTGACTCGTGTGTGACCCGTGTGTGACTCGTGTGACTTGTGTGACTCGTGTGTGACTCGTGTGTGTGACTCGTGTGTGACTCGTTTGTGACCCGTGTGTGACTCGTGTGTTACCCGTGTGACTCGTGTGACTCGTGTGACTTGTGTGACTCGTGTGTGACACGTGTGTGTGACTCGTGTGTGTGACTCGTGTGTGTGACTCGTGTGTGTGACTCGTGTGTGACTCGTGTGTGACCCGTGTGTGACTGTGTGACTCGTGTGTGACTCGTGTGTGTGACTCGTGTGTGACTCGTGTGTGACCGTGTGACTCGTGTGTGTGACTCGTGTGTGTGACCCGTGTGTGACTCGTGTGAATTGTGTGACTCGTGTGTGACCCGTGTGTGACCCGTGTGACTTGTGTGACTCGTGTGTGACTCGTGTGACTTGTGTGACTCGTGTGTGTGACTCGTGTGTGTGACTCGTGTGTGTGACTCGTGTGTGTGACTTGTGTGTGACTTGTGTGTGTGACTCGTGTGTGACTTGTTTGTGACCCGTGTGTTACCCGTGTGACTTGTGTGACCCGTGTGTGACTCGTGTGACTGTGTGACACGTGTGTGTGACTCGTGTGTGACCCGTGTGTGACTCGTGTGTGACCTGTGTGTGACTCGTGTGTGACTCGTTTGTGACTCGTGTGTGACCCGTGTGTGACTCGTGTGACTTGTGTGACTCGTGTGTGACTCGTGTGTGTGACTTGTGTGTGACTGTGTGTGTGACTCGTGTGTGTGACTCGTGTGTGTGACTCGTGTGTGTGACACGTGTGTGTGACTGTGTGTGACTGTGTGTGACTCGTGTGTGACCTGTGTGACTGTGTGTGACTCGTGTGTGACTCGTGTGTGACTCGTGTGTGACTCGTGTGTGTGACTCGTGTGTGTGACTCGTGTGTGTGACTGTGTGTGACGTGTGTGTGACTTGTGTGTGACGTGTGTGTGTGTGACTCGTGTGTGTGTGTGACTCGTGTGTGTGTGTGACTTGTGTGTGTTTGTGTGTGTGACTCGTGTGTGTGACTCTCGTGTGTGTGTGTGTGTGTGACTCGTGTGTGTGACTCGTGTGTGTGTGACTCGTGTGTGACCGTGTGTGTGACTCTCTCGTGTGTGTGATTCGTGTGTGTGACTCGTGTGTGTGACTCGTGTGTGTGACTCGTGTGTGACTGTGTGACTCGTGTGTGTGTGTGTGTGACTGTGTGTGACTCGTGTGTGACTCGTGTGACTGTGTGTGTGTGACTCGTGTGTGTGTGACTCGTGTGTGACTCGTGTGTGTGT